AGCCTCTGCATTACATAAGACCATAGGTGGAATCCTGTACCCCATCCTCTGAGGTAGGAAATTTCAACTTAAAAGGACAAGTAGACCAGCTTGGAGAGGCTAGAGAGCAGAAGATACTTTTTGAAAGAAAGACTGACAGAAAAAATACAAAACAATGATGGCAGTCCAACTGATTACTACAAGAACAAGCAAGTTGCTTGCCCAGAAGACATCAAAACAAGTGGTCGGGTCCCCTCGGGGCAAACCCCCTTGTGGGAATACACAAGCAGACATGTGCTCTGATTGGTGACCACGTTCATCACCAATAAGGTGATGTGAGGGAACAACAGCAATGAATCTGCGAGCCAAGCCTTACAATGTTCAATAGACTCCTGTGAACCCCGTGGGGACCTGGTTGGCCAGCATTGTGGCAAGACCTGGGTAATCTTGGGCATAGAATCAGTGACATAGCCACAGAGGACTACAGTCCCACTTGACCTAGCTTCAATGACTGGAAGATCAGAGCTCAAGTAGAAGAAGAAAGAAGAGGAAAAAAAAGAGTAATCTGATAAAATTTGATGAACTTGGCCTACACCTTTGTATGCACTAGCTCAAAAGACAGAATAGATGTTTATAGCGAGGATCATTCCCACCCTCTCAATACACAGAGTAGACACGCATGGGCAACTTGGACATTAGCTACCCAAAATGGGGGTGGGGGAGCTACGAAGGCAAGAAGTGACTGGCTTACAAGCTTTGAAGAGGGAGCCTAGATCCAGAGGGCACAGAGGAAGGCAGAATATCCACTGAGTAGTATCCAATATGTCTGGGTGGGGCTGATCGAAGGAAATGGGGATAGGTCTCTTGTGGTACAATAGTGAATAATTGCTATCAGGACTGACTGTGAGGGTTGGAAATTTAAAGGCAGACATTTTGTAGCAATAGGAGGGGAGTGATTGACTTTACAGTCCAGTAGCAGAGGTTCATGGGACCATCAAAGGAGAAGAGCAGAGTATGGGACCCTACCTAGAGAAACAGTGACACCAGAGATAGAGGCAGATACAACGATGTGGAGAGATAGAGCAGCTGGGAACTCTAGACCCAGAGGGGAGAGAGTCTGTGTGTTAACAACCGGGGACAGGCTTGCAGGGTATATCATTTGGTTGGTTGGTGATGCATGGAGGGGATTGTAACCATGGCAATTAAACAATATATGATAGGATGAATGTAAAACTGTGTTCTCCCATGTAAACTATAACATAATTCACACACACACACATACGCACACAAAAAGAAATGGAAGGAATACACAGAGTCACTGTACCAAAAAGAAATGGTTGATGTTCAAACGTTTCAAGAGGTAGCATATGATCTAGAGCCAATGATACTGAAGGAAGAAGTCCTAGGTGCATTGAAGGAATTGGCAAAGAACAAGACACCAGGAATTGAAGGAATAAAATTTGAAATCCTTTAAGCAAGTGAGGCAACACTGGAGGAATTCACTCATCTATGCCAAGAAATTTAGAAGACAGTTATTTGGACAACTGATTGGGATAGAACCATATTTGTGCCCATTCCAAAGAGAGGATACCCAAAGGAATGCAGAAATCATCAGACAATATCTTTGATATCCCATGAGAGTAAGTTTTACTAAAGGTAATACAGAAACAGCTGTAAACATAGAACATAAATCAAAGAACTTCCAGAGGTTCAAGCCAGATTCAGAAGAGGACAGGGAACTAGGGATATCATTGCTGATGTCCGATGGATCTTGGCTAAAAGCAGAGAATACTTGAAAAATGTATAGCTGTGCTTTATTGACTACACAAAGGCTTTCGATTTTGTGGATCATGGCAAGTTATGGACAACAATGCAAAGAATGAGTATTCTGGAACACTTAATTGTGCTCATGAGGGATCTGTACATGAACCAAGAGGCAGTTGTTCTAATGTAACATGGTTTAAAATTAAGAAATTTGTGCAATAGAGTTGTTATTCTTTCACCATACTTATTCAACCTGTATGCTAAGCAAATAATTCGAGAAGCTGGTTTAGATGAACAAAAACAAGACTCATTAACAACCTGCGATATGCAGATGATACAACCTTGCTTGCTGAAAGGGAAGAGGACTTAAAACACTTACTAATTAAGATCAAAGACCACAGCCTTCAGTATAGATCGCATCTCAATGTAAAAAAAACACAAATCCTCACCACTGGTCCAATAAACAACATTCTTATCAACGGAGAAAAGATTGAAGTTGTCAAGGACTTCATTCTTCTTGGATCAACTATCAACACTCATGGAAGCAGCAGTCAAGAAATCAAACGACGTATTGCATTAGGCAAATCTGCTACACAAGACCTTTTTAAAGTGTTGAAGAGCAAAAATGTCAGCTTGAGGACTAAGGTGAACCTGACCCAAGCCATGATATTTTCATTAACTTCATATACATGTGAAAGCTGGAGAGTGAATAAGGAAGACTGTAGAAGAATCGATGCATTTGAGTTATGGTGTTGGAGGAGAATATTGAAAGTACCATGGGCTGCCAAAAGAACAAGCAGATCTGTTTAGGAAGAAGTGCAGCCAGAGTGCTCCTTGAAGGCCAGGATGGCCAAGCTTCATCTGTCATTCTCCAGCCATATTGTCAGGTGGGACCAGTCAGTGGAGAAGGATATCGTGTTTGGTAAGTTGGATGATTAGAGAAAAAGAAGACCCCCATGAGATGGATTGGCAAAGTGGCAGCATCAATGGACTCAAGGGTGGCAACAATTGTGAGATTGGCCCAGTACTGGGCAGTGTTTCTTTCTGTTGTGCATAAGGTCACTATGAGTTGGTACCAACTTGATAGCACCTAACAACAACAACAACTGAATATTTTAGATATTAAAGGGTGATAAATTGTTCAAAATAAGACCAAGGAGTTAGAGGTAAGGGAATAAGTAATATTTGTTTTCTGTAGCATCCAATAACTCAAGAGCCCCTTGTCCTCACTCTGCAAGTTCTGTTTCTTCCAAGACTTGCCATCCCATGTCCTGACGTATCAAGTCCCAAAAATCCAAGCTCTGGTAACTGAAGGGAGGCCCTTGTTCCCACCCAAGTTTTTCTTTTCCAATGCAGATGTTATTAAATATACTTTCTATAGGAACAGATGAAAAATAATTTAGGAATGCAAGAGTAAAAGAATACTAAAGATAAGTTTGTCATATTAATGTTTCCTCCCTCCTCCTTGGTTTTATAGATTGTGTTTTTCTTGCCTTCGGATGCTACTCAAAATAATCAGCTACCTTCCCAAGAAGCAAACACCAGATTACAATTTGAACTTCAAGAAGAGTCTTCCAGTAATGACACTGCAACAACAACCCCACATGCTTTTTTCTTTGGAGGCTATGCTTTCTTCAAGTTAAGAGTCTCTGGAAGTCCATTAGCCTCTCTACCCAAACCACAACCAGAGAGCAAAGGTAGTGAAATTGACAACACACCTCCTGTACTTGTACCAGATGAACACCAAGAAAACGCATCGCCACCTCTGCCTCCCATATTAGAGAAAAAGTCATTGGAAAATAATATGCAAAGTCAACCATGCTGTACAACTGAACATCTGGAAGCTGAAGACCTACAGCCTGCTATGGTACAAACCCCTAAAATGCAAATTCGATTGCTTCAGGCCCAAACTTTGCCACTACAAGTTTTTCCACCCCTTTCTGTACAGTCTTATTTCCCAAAACTCCATGCTTTACAACTCCAAGACTTGCCATCCTATGCCCTGCCATCTCAATTTCTAGAATCCCAAGCCCTAAAAAGTAAAGGGCCCCTTGTCCCTTCTAAAGTTTTGTTTATCCAAGATATGCCAGTCCATCACCTACCAGTTCGAATCCATGAATCCCAAGCCCAAGTAACTGAAGGACCCCTGGTTCCCACTATGCAAGTTTTGTTTTCCAAAGATTTGTCATCCCATGCTTTGCCATATCAAGTCCCAAAATACCAAGCTCTGGTAACTGAAGGGCCCCTTGTTTCCACAACCCAAGTTTTGCTTTTCCAAGACTTACCATCTTATACCCTGAATTATCGAGTCTCAGAAAGTCACATGTTAAAAAAAGAAGGGCCTCTTGTCCCTACAGCACAAGTTTTGTTTTTCAAAGACTGGCCATGCCATTCACTGTCAATTCAAGTACAAGAAGCCCAAGCCAAAGTAGTTGAAGGGCCCCTTGTCCCTACAGCACAAGCTTTGTTTTTTAAAGACTGGCCATCTCATTCCCTGCCAGTTCGACTCCAAGAAGCCCAAGCCAAGGTATTTGAAGGGCCCCTTGTCCCTACAGCACAAGCTTTGTTTTTCAAAGATATACTATCCCAAAGACTACCAGTACAAGCCTTGCTATACCGAGGCCCAACATTTCATGTCGTAGAGTCCCATGTCCTAGTATCCCAATATATGCCATCCCAAAACATGTCAACTGAAGACTCCACACCCCAATATACACTATCTCAAGACACGCTATCCCAAAATACATCATCAAAAGACACAACATCCCAAGAGCTTTCAGTGAAAGCCCCAACATCTCAAGATGCACAGTCTCCAGATCAGCAAATCAAAGACTTTGTATATCAAGACATTAAGTCAGAAGTCATGTTACTCTCTCAAGAGTGGAAATCCAATAAGAAGCTCCATAGCAAGAAATCTTCAAAGCGGCATTCCTTAGAACAAAGCAAAGACTTGCAATCCCCAAAACGGAGATCACTAGATGAGCAACACCAGAAATCCCCAAAACGGAAATCCATAGACCAGGAAAGCCAAGGCCAGAAATCCCCAAGGCGGAAATCTATAGACCAGCAAATCAAAGACTGGTTATTCCCAAAGCAGAAATCCCTAGACCAGCAAAGCAAAAGCTGGCAGTCCTCAAAGAAGGAATCCCCAAGCTTGCAACAACATCCAGATCAGCAAGCTGAAGCCCAGCAGGCCCCAAAAGAGCAATCCGCAAAGCAACAATCCCAAAGTGAAAAAGGTAAACATCAGCAACCCCCAAAGGTACAAGATAAAGTTCACCAAACTGATGAGGAACAGTCCCCAAAAGAGAGACCCAAAAATGTACAAGCGAAAGAACAGAAAGCTCAAGAGAAGAAAGTGCCAAAGAATCTATGCAATGATTGGAAATTACAAATCCATGAATCCGAAGACTGGCAACCCCAACATGTGCAGTCTTTACACCTGAAAACTCCAGGATGGCAACCTTTTCACCAGCAATCACAAGACGGGGTAACTCAAGCCTGGAGAAAGAAAGATTGGAATGCACAGGAATGGCAATTTGAAATGCAGAATTCCCTAAATTGGCGATCCCAAAATCTATCAGAGAAAGAAGCTCTAAGGCAGAGAGCTTTATACCAAGAAGCCCAAATCCAGCACAACATGGCCAGACTCAACCTAGATCAACAATTACAAGAAGGTCTAATTCAAAACAGTCAGTGGCAAAATAAGCTCCACCAAGACATTCAATCCAGAGTTACACAAAAAGATACACAAGTAGACAGTGCACAAACAAGAGAGATCAAACCAGGTTACGTGGAACCTAAAGGTCAAAAATCAAAGGACTTGCAATCAGAAAACATGAAGCCAAATGTATCTTCCTCATGCCAAAGTGCAGAACGTGATCTGGATGTATCATATTTATCCAGCTCAGAGCAAGATGTGGACCAAAACCCTTCAGTATGCTCAACTTTCTGCAAAGATGATCTAGATTTAGCTTCTACCTCATGTTGCCTAAAAGATCAACAATCAGAAGACTCTGACTAACATGCAGAATATAGTCAAACACCACACTGCCCCTAGAAATGAAACCAAATTAGGGAAAAACTATAGAGTCTCCTCTAACCTATGTTCTTAGCTGTGGTTGCTATATTATTCACTCAACAACAAATGAAGGACATGCAGAACACTCAAAGGATTTGTCCTTAATGAAAATAAAATAACAACAAACCAAATATTAAAACTATATTAGAACTTTCTGGGGGTGGCAGAATAAGTCACATTTAAACCATGTCATCAATGCTAGTGTTTCATTTTATGATCACCAATTAATTTTACAACGTAATATGTAATGAATCAATTTTTCTATGGTGCTAACATTTTTTGCCTCCTCTTTTGTACATTATAGGGGTTCATTCAGTAAGTCAACTGTGAAGAAGTCTTCTATACAGACTCTCTAAGGGCTCAAGAAACAAGAGTCAGAAAGGAATAAAAGTCACTCCCACCTGGCCCCTGTTTTGTTGTTTCCAACCGTCCCATTTACTGCTCACCACCCAACCCCACAAACCAATGTGTTGCAGATGTATATACTACATCTGTGTCAATTATTAAAGAGGTGGGTGGAGGGTGAATAAAACCTATCTAGAGGTCCCCGAGTGGTATAGTTTGGGCTTATATTAACCTAGAGGTTGGCAGCACCATGAAAGAAAGGTCTGATGATCTGCTTCTGCAAAGATCATAACTAAGAAAATCCTATGGAGCAGCTCTACTTTATAACCCATTAGTCAGAATGAACTTGATTGTAATTGGTTTGGGTTTGGGGTTTAGAGACAAGGGAAGTAGGAGGCAGGGAAGAGTGAAGATGTAACTATCAGAAATAATGACAAAACTGTAATGTGTTTAGTAAAACTCTAGCTACCTTCCACGTATCTGTACTCACTACCTCTAATTTCTAAAACTTTATGACATATTTTATCCTCATATCAAAGAAAATTGTTTTGAAAGCCATCAGGGACCCTACACCTTCAAAACCTCATCACATTTTTTTTTTTCATTCTTCCTTCTCATTCATCTCTTTGATATGTTTGGAATTGATAACCATCCCTTTCTGTGTTCTTTATTACTACCCGTACATAGACCAGGAGACAGTTGTTCAAACAAAATAAGGTTACACTGAATGGTTTAAAATTAGGAAAGGTGTGCACCAGGGTTGTATTCTTGTATCATATTTATTCAATCTGTATGCCAAGCAAATAATCCAAGAAGCTGGATTATATGAAGAAAAACCATGACATCAGGATTGTAGGAGGACTCATTAACAACTTGAAATATGCAGATGATACATTCTTGCTTGCTGAAAACCAAGAGGACTTAAAATAGTACTGATGAAGATCAAAGACCACAGCCTTTGGTATAGGTTACACCTCAATGTAAAGAAAACGATCCTAACAAATGGACCAATAAATAACATCAAGATAAATGGAGAAAACATTGAAGTTGTCAAAGACCTCATTTTTCTCAGATCAACCATTAACTCTCATGGAGCAGCAGTCAAGAAATCAACTGACATATTGTTGCATTGCACAAATCTGCTGCACAAGACCTCTTTAAAGTGTTTAAGAGCAAAGATGCCACTTTGAGGCACATCAGACCCACACCATGGTATTTCAGTGAACTCATATGTAAGGAGTTCTGGTAGTGGTTATGAATCGGGCTGCTAACCTCTATGTCTGCAGTTCGAAACTACCGGCTGCTCCACAGGAGTGAGACAAGGCTTTCTGCTTCTATAAAGATTTGCAGCCTCAGAAACCCTGTGTGGGGTCACTATGAGTCAGAATAGACTCCATAGTACTTAACAACAACAACATATGTATGTGAAAGTTGGACAATGAATAAATTGATGTGTATAAATTATAGTGTTGGGTGAGAATATTAAAGAAGAATGCCAAAAGAACAAATCTATGTTGGACGAAGTATGTCCAGAATGCTCCTTAGAATCCAGGTTGACCAGACTTCATCTCTTATACTTCAGATACACTATCAAGAGGAACCAGTCCCTGGAGAAGGACATCATGTTTGATAAAGTGGAGGATCAGCAAAAAAGAAGACCCCCAATGAGATGGGTGGACACAGAGACAGCAGTTCAAGCACAGGAACAATTGTGAGATGCCCACAGGAATGGACAGTGTTTCATTCTGTTTTGCATAAGGTCACTGAGCTGGTACCAAATCAATGGTACCTAACAGCAATAACCATTTTTCAACTTTTTTTCCTCCTTCAGTATTCTGAAGGAATGAAACAACTATAAAATTGTGATTTGTAGTGTGAAGAAAGTTGGGGAGAGACCTCCTTCAGCATATTTTCTCCTTCAGAATGCTGAAGGAGGTCTCTCCCCAACTTTCTTCACTTTAAAAATCACATTTTTATAGTTGTGTAACCAACTGTAGAATTACCCCAAATTCTTGCTGTATTTGTGTTTTCAACAGAATTCATCACAAAGGCTTACTTTCAGTTGGTATTTAAAACAGTGCCTTAAAAGCACAATTGAGAGCCTGGTTTCTCTAGCTAAAGGTGAGTCCAGTCATTAAGGGTTTTTTTGTTGTTGTTGTCAGGTGCCATCGAGTCAGAACTGACTCATAGCGACCCCATGCACAAAGAATAATGGAATGCTAGTATACATCTCAAAGGAGCTCTGGTAGCATAGTGGTTACAAATCGGGCTGCGAATCTTAAGGTCAGCAGTTCAAAACTAGCAGCTGCTCTGCATGAGAAAGATGAAGCTTTCTGCTCCCAAAAAGATTTACAGCCTCAGAAACCCTGTACAGGGTCGCTATGAGTCAGTTCTGACTCCACGGCACATAATCACCACCAGTATACATCTCCACCACACTTGCTTGTCAGGTTGTTGTACTGTGATGACTTCCACACTTGCTTGTCAGGTTGTTGTACTGTGATGACTTGCATGTTACTGGGATGCTGGAACCTCTGCCATCATTATTTTAAATACAGGTAGGGTCACCTATAGTGAACAAGTTTCAGCAGAGCTTCCAGACAAAGACAGACTAGGAAGAAGGAGAACTGAACTACTTCTGAATGTTTAGTCACTGGAAGCCTTATGAATCCCAGTGGAACATTGTCAGCTACAGTGCCAGAAGATGAAGATATATGAATAACATCAGATCATTGTGAGATATAGTGCCTGAAAATAAGCCTTTCAGGTTGGAACCACTCAAAATAGGACTGGGGAAGCACTGTCACTTCAAAATAGAGTTAATCATAATGACATGAATTGAACAAAGCTTTCAAGACCTTCATATGTTAATGAGGCTCAACTCAAAATGAGAAACAGCTGCAAACATCCATTAATAATTGGAGCACGGAATGCATGAAATATGAATGTAGGAAAATTAGAAGTTGTCAAAAATGAAATGGAAAGCATAAATATAGACATCCTAGACTTTGTTGTTGTTGTTAAATACTGTCAAATCAGTTCTGACTCACAGTGATCCTATGGGTTTGAACCACCAACTTTGAAACCAACTCAACCTTGTGGTCCAGTGCTAATCCTACAGTACCACACCAGGACTCCTAGACAATAGCAGGCTGAAATGTACTAGTGTTGGTAATTTTGAATCTTCTATGTCTGGAACGACAAATTCAAGAGGAATGGTCTCTCGCAGAACAACTGGTAGGTTTGAACTGTTGACTTTGTTGTTTAGCATTCCAATGGCTAATCCACAGCACTACCAGAAGTCCTTCATATGGTCTTGGAAACACTATGAGAAATTTTATTCCGTCCTATCATATTTTGGACATATTGTCTGCCAGGAGGGACCAGTCACTGGAGAAGGATATCATGTTTGGTAAAGTGGAGGGTCAAAGAAAAAGAGGAAGACCCCCACCCCCCAACGAGATGGATTAGCACAGTGGCAGCATCAATGAGCTCAAATATAGCAACGATTGTGAGGTTGCCCCAAGATTGGACAGTGTTTCATTCTGTTGTGCATAGGGTCACTATGAGCCAGCACTGACTCGATGGCACCTAACAACAACTATGTCCTATAGAGTCACTAGTGTCACTCAGGGATGTTGTTTTGCTCCTACCCTGTAAAGGAGGGTTCTTGCCTTCTACTGATCAAGAATGACCATAAAAGGCATAACGTTTTCCTTGAGAACAAAACTTTATTAAAGCAAGGTTATAAAAAAGGAAGGAGACAGAGCATAGGTAACTCTTGCCTCTGTGTAAATGACTGGAGATCTGATGTTATAAAGGGTCCAAGAAGTCATTTGAACTGCAACATCGGTGGTTCAGCTCACTAGCTGCTCCTTGGAAACTCTATACAGGGTTGCTATGGGTCGGAATTGATTCACCTGCACTTAACAACAAGGCAGGTAAAGGTAACTCGTACATATTCATCAAACAGGTGGAGAGTTTCTTGCAATAGTCCATTTAGGTGGAGTCATGATAACTAGGTGCTTGTGCATTCAAAACACAAAATGGAACCTGCTGGAATACTTGCTGTGTCTAGTTGACAAGGCTTGTTTTGGGATGTTGAACATGTGTAGAATTCTGGTCAGTTGGTTTGATTGAGTTAATACGCTGGACTGCAAGATCAGTTTGAACCACAAGGTCGGCTGTTCAAGCTTGCAAGCTGCTCCTCGGAAGCCCTGTACAGGGTCACTATGGGTGGGAGTCAACTCGATCGCACTTAACAACAACAACAACAACAGACATTTAAGGTCATGGGTTGCTCTCTGTGTACGCTTCAAACATTGGTTTGACTTGGATTTTGTTGGAAACTATTTTAAAAGGGTTGCAAGGAGCTCTGGTAGCGTAGTGGTTACGAATCGGGCTGTGAACCTTAAGGTCAGCGGTTCGAAACTACCAGCCGCTCCGCGGGAGAAAGATGAGGCTTTCTACTCCCATAAAGATTTACACCCTCGGAAACCCTGTACAGGGTCGCTATGGGTCGGAACCAACTCGATGGCACTTAACAACAACAATTGATAACCGGGTGCTGCCCTCAGGGTGTGACTTTTATCTTTCCT